TAATGGGATTGCTGGGTCAAATGGAATTTCTATTTCTAGGTCCTTGAGGAATCGCCACACTGTCTTTCACAATGGTTGAACTAATTTACACTCCCACCAACAGTGTGAAAGTGTTCCTATTTCTCCACATCCTCTCCAGCATCTGTTGTCTCCAGATTTTTTAATTATGGCCATTCTAACTGGCGTGAGATGGTATCTCAATGTAGTTTTGATTTGCATTTTTCTAATGATCAGTGATGATGACCAGTTTTTCATATGTTTCTTGGCCTCAAATATGTCTTTTTTAATCCAGAAAGGTAAACGACTGTGCCTAAGATCACACAACGGTACACTTGTCCTTGGTCCACTGCTGCCCTTCTTGGGCCTTTTCTTGAGTCACTCACTTGCAGCAGAAGGTGTCACTGCCTTACCCATTGGCTCCTGTGATTCGCCTCTACACAGGATCACTGTTACCTATGACTGTCTGAGGCTCTATTTCTGACTGAAGGTTCACGCTCAGCCTTTACACAGGCTAGGCACACACAGAGTGCTGGATAGTTAATGTCCAAAAAAAGGCTCTTCATGCATAATGGACAGGAATTTGTTGAATACATATCCCAACTTCCTTACTCCTTGGTCAGGATAAGTTTGGGGCCTCTTTGTATTCTGTCTCCAGTGGGGCTAACCTCTGATTGCTCACAGTAGTATCTGGCTTGATGATGTACCCCTTTAGGGGGTTCATTTCCTCTTCATTATATTTTCCCACTCCTCTCCCAATAATTCCTATGGTTACCTCTCAAATAAACTACTTCCACTCAAATTCTTGCTTGAGATCAGCTTTTAACCCAAGCTAAAATTCTGTCTCCATGTTCCTCTCATTTAAATCATCATTCCAGTTTATAGATGTGAGATTAGGCTATAGATTATTTGAGAAAGACCTAAAAAATTTCTAAAGCTTTTATTAAGCCAGATAAAAAAAATTCAAAAAAGTACATGCCTCCCAACTTTGTAATAGTTCTAGAATTTAAATTAGTTTTGAAAACGTCCATCCTGAAATCACTTCTCTTTGAAAGACTTTTACTCTTGCTCTATAAATATGCTCGTGTGTGACCCCTTAAAAAATTTTTTTTCTTGACTCTGGTTACCTCCAGTTTCTGTTGAAGTCACTGAAATATTTCTGGCAAAAAGACTCAGTAAGAACACTGCCATATCAAATAACACCTTTCAATTATTACCTTACACAAATGCTTTAATGCCGTCTAATTTTTTTATTTTTCTTTTTTTTTATAACATCTTTTTTTACTCCAATATCAGAAAATCGTTTTCCTATATTTTCTGCTCAGGGAATTAAGGTTTGATTTTTGCATTTATATCCTATTCTACTTGAAATTTATTTTATCATAAAAAGATCCTCATCTGTATGATACGGTTTATCACTTGCTTCTGAAATTCTTCCACACCAGTTTCTTTGACTCTTCTCATCATCTGACGCTTTTTGATTTCTACTCATTCATTAATGTTTGCTTTGTACATTCCTCCTCTTCTGCCTACTCTGGAAATTCCCCCAGAGCCTGCCTTCTGACCAGTTATTTTTTATTACATATTCCTTGTAGTATTTTTATCCCCAGCTTTATATTTGTACTCTTGTTTTGTGTATGTACACTTCTTACTAAACCTTAAAATCAACAAATTCAAAAATTAATCTTATTTTTTATTCTGCCAGTGAAACACCCTGTTTCCTCAGTATTCTATTCTACTCTGATTAACTGTATTATCATCTACCCAACTGCCCATTTCAGAAACCCAAGAGTAGTCCTATAGTCTCTTAATTATTGCCTCAACTCACATTTCAATGAATTAATCATCAAGTTTCAATAATTTTAATTCCCAAATACTTATTACATCATTGCTCCTCCCTTAGTCCAACCTACATCTTTATAAACTGGTCAATACATTCATTGTATTTTACCTAGTTAATTTAGATACCTTCTGCTTACAGTACTGTACCATTCAAAACCATGCTTCCTATGGCCCCAGAGAGGTGCAACAGCAACAGAAATTACTACTGCTCACCAGTATTTCGAGGCCTTAATTCTTTCAGCATGTGGAAAAACTCCAACCTTCTCAGATCTCTTAACCTTAAGTAGGACTCTATTAATTCTTTGGGCAATGGTTTGTGTAGGGAAGAAATTATTGACAGGGGGAGGTGATGAAAAGTCTATCTGTGACTTTCCAGTCTCTATTCCCCTGCATCATCCACCAAAAAGATGGTACAAACCAGTTAGCCAAGGTCCAAGTGAATATTTAGGTCTGAAGACCCTACTTCTTCCAGCCTAACTGAAGATTTGTAGGCTAATTTGTTATCACAACTTGAAAGACCACCATTACTGACACAACATATAAAACGAAATTTTGACCATGTTACACCTAAATAAATTATCTAATAGTTTGTTTACCATTTTTGAAATATGGAGCAACAATCTTACACAGTAAAATAAGGACTTTTGTAAGTTATTCTCCACTCATCTTCATCTCATGCTCAGCACTTTCACTTTATGTTCTCATAATATACTAAAGGCTTATTCTTTTAATATACACCATACAATTAATATCTTCACACACTTTTTCTGAAACAGAGTCTCATTGTGTCACCCAAGCTGGAGTGCAGTGGTGTGATCACAGCTCACCACAGTCTTGACCTCCTGGGCTTAGATGATCTTCCCGCCTCAACCTCTAGAATAGCTAGGACTATAGACACCTACTGTAACGCTGGCTAATTTTTGCAGAGGTTGAGGTTTCACCATGTTGCCCACACTGGTTCAAGTGACCCACCTGCCTCGGCCTCCCCAAGTGACAGGATTACAGGTGTGAGCCACTGGCCCCAGTCGTATCTTCACACTTGTGTCCCTACTTTTATCTCTACCTTGAGTTCTTGCCCTCCTACCATTTAATTGGATAACTTCTACTCAAATTTTGAGACTCCATTCAGGCGTCAGTGCCTCCAAGAAGGATTTCTTGAACTCCAAGATGATTATAAACTTCTGCAGGGAATGTTTGATATTTATCTTTTTAATCCCCATCTTCTATCACATTGCCTTTTACTTAAAAGGCACCTCAACTGATGTTTCTTTAACTCTCTTCACAAAATAATTCCAAGACAAATAATCAAAAGCCTTAATCAAATGAAAGATTTAATCATTTTAATCAATCAGATTTTCTCCACAAGACTAGATACATCATTTTTAATTCATAAATGAATTGAAGTGATCATTTTCAAATAAAATGAAATATAACTAATAATACTAACTTTTTTTATTGTATTCATGTCTCTTGTTTAACTATTTATTAAATATATATTTAGAGAGAATAGACAACCTTTAAGGAATCTCACTAAGCATTGGGAAAAACTTAAGTCTCTTGGCCTAAGATATCAAAGTTATTTTCTTCAGTGAATTATTTATTTGATCCCCTTTATATTTATTCCCTCTTATACTCTATCTTCCAAAACTGACTACCTCTCTCCTTATTCAATGGCTTTCAATCTTATCAGAAAGCAAAATCTAATATCCTTATTAGATTGCATTACAACACACCTTATTTTAACCTCTGACTTCATCTCTTTCATCTTCCTCTTAGTCCCCCGATCCATCAGCATCCTTTCCCTAACATCCCCCAAACATAACGAGGTTGCTGACACCTTTGTATTTGATCCTTCCTCTGCCTTAAACAATCTTAACCAAAATATCTGCATGGTTCTCTATTTTTGTCTCTAATTTGATCTATGCTCAAATATTAATTTATCACATGGATGTTCTCTGACAAACATCTATATAAGGATACCTTACTATTTGTATCTCTTTTAGACTTTTATTTTTCTTGATGGATCTTTTTACCTCTTTATATATGCCTATATATTTATTGTTAGTCTTTTGACACTAGAATATAAGATCCTTTCCCACTGTATTATGTTTTTCTGTGACAGGGGCTTTGTACCTTTATTGCTGTATCCCCAGGGTATAAAACAATATTTTACATATAGTATGGACTGAAATATATTAGCAGACCAAATACATGAATTAATTAGACAATTTTGTCAAAGGAACTTTAACCTAATGGAACAGATAGTGGCATAATTACAGTAAAATAAGTTCTATAAATACCCTACATGAATAAAAGCAATAGGCTATGCTGGTAAAGAACCATAACCAATACAATCTAACTCATAGATCGACTTACCAAATTACTATCAACTGCATGGATGTAAAATGGGAGTTCCTCTTACTTTGTTTTTCCTTTTTCTTTTCACCTATTTTCTTTCTTGTACTCTGACAGTTCTCTCTAATTCTGAATAATATCCAGCTATGTTGCCTATGTGCTTTTTTATTATACTATAATAATTTTACTCTGTAAATTGGACCAACTATGCTCATAAGAACTGGAATGAAAAAAAATTCCTCTTCCAAAATTTCCATTCTACTCAGTTGCAATTCTAGCATCTAAATTTATGATAATACATATTATCATGACATTTGAGACCTACATGAATCTTGAAATGTCGTCACACCAATGGAAAGAAAGTCAATACTAGGGAATTCCAACACTGTACCAAGCACCATAATAAAGATCTTTTATTTTTTTATTTTTTTATTGCGTTTTAGGTTTGGGGGTACATGTGAAGAACATGCAAGATTGTTGCACAGGTACACACATGGCAGTGTGATTTGCTGCCTTCCTCCCCTTTACCTATATCTGGCATTTCTCCCCAGGCTATCTCTCCCCATCTCCCCATCCCCCCGTCCCTCCCCCATTTCCACCCAACAGACCCCAGTGTGTAGTGCTCCCCTCTCTGTGTCCATGTGTTCTCATTGTTCAATACCTGCCTATGAGTGAGAACATGTGGTGTTTTTCTGCTCTTGTGTCAGTTTGCTGAGAATGATGGTTTTCCAGGTTCATCCATACAAACATTTCAGTTATCAATCTTCATGACAAACCATGTATGTTATATACAAATCCTTCAAGAAATATGTATGTGCTTTCCACCTCGGACCCGGCAAAATGGCTCCTGCAAAGAAGGGTGGCGAGAAGAAAAAGAGCCGTTCTGCCATTAACGAGGTGGTGACCCGAGAATACACCATCAACATTCACAAGCGCATCCATGGAGTGGGCTTCAAGAAGCGTGCCCCTCGGGCACTCAAAGAGATTCGGAAATTTGCTATGAAGGAGATGGGAACTCCAGATGTGTGCATTGATACCAGGCTCAACAAAGCTGTCTGGGCCAAAGGAATAAGGAATGTCCCATACCGAATCCGTGTGCGGTTGTCCAGAAAACGTAATGAGGATGAAGATTCACCAAATAAGCTCTATACTTTGGTTACCTATGTGCCCGTTACCACTTTCAAAAATCTGCAGACAGTCAACGTGGATGAGAACTAATCGCTGATCATCAAATATATCAAATAAACATAAAAAAATTTAAAAAAAATGAAATATGTATGTTTGTTTCTTTTGGTTATCAAAACAACATGCAAAGAAATAAGACATTTAAAGTAATAATTTTCATTTAGAAATATCCTTCTGCTTGGCTGCTGAAGTAGGTTTTATAGTCATCCACAGTCAAGACAACTCTCACATCTAATAACAAAATTTTCCATCCTTTTCTACCCTACTAAGTTGATGTGGAGCATATGGAACTGGGTGTCAATGAGTGGAGACACAGAACTCTGGGCGTTAGACTAGAGCAGACACTAAGATCCTTACCTGGGGTATAGTGTAGCCCATCTACAGTCATGAGCCACATAATAACATTCCAGTCAAGGACAGACTGCATATTTAGGAGTGGTCTCCTAAGATTATAATACCATATATTTGCTGTACCTTTTCCTTGTTTAGATATATTTAGGTACACAAATAATTTCCATTGTGTTACAGTTGTCTACTGTATTCGGTAAGCAAAATGCTGTGGAGGTTTGTAGCCTTGGAGCAATAAGCTACACCATGTAGCGTAGATGTGTAGTAGGTTATACCATCTAGATTTGTGTAAGTACATTCCGTGACGTTTGCACAACAAAATTGCCTAACAATAATGTATTTCTCCAAAGGTGTGTCTGTCCTTCAGCAATGCATGACTGCACCTCTCTCACTCCCTTTAGGAACAATGTCTGCAGTTTCTCATGCCCTTAGATTTGATTTGTCCTTTGACCTTCTAATGAGATATTTTTTGGCTTAATATAGTCTCACTCTATTTTGCTATGCATTTTTTTTTCCAAATACTACATATGATTAATTCCATTATGTTCCATTTCTTGGAAGAAACTAAGACTCTGAGGAGTTAAATAAGTATCCCAAGCAACCCAGTTCTTTAAGTGGCAGTTCTTTGACTCATGTCTGACTTCATACTATTTTATTCTGCCTAAGATTAAAGATAAAATCTGAACTATAGCCAACATCTCTTGGATGCAAACCAGTGAAAAGTGGTTTGTACACCCACAAATCATTCACAACAAACTAAAAAGAATTCTGTTAACCACTCCAATCTGTGTCAATTTCACGAAGTCCTAAGCATTAGTGTTCATAACTAAAAATAAATCAAATTAAGACATCTTTCTTTTCTGATTTTATAAAAGGATGATATTTTAAATTATTAATATGCCAGCTTATTAATCTGGCTTTAGCAATCAGTCAGATATCTGTCTATGTTGAAATATGGTATTTTAATATAAAGCAAGATAATGACTTTGTTATTTTATTGATGTGTTTTCCTTGGATCGTATGGATCGTATTCCAAGAATGTTGGGTTTCTCCATTACAGGGGACTGTGAATAAGACATTTTATTAAGGTTATCTATGTATATTCACTCATAATATCTAATTTATTGCCAAACTATATTGATAATTTAAAGTATTTCTTAGGGCATCTTTTCATTTCTGTCATCACCCTGAATTAAGTTCTTATTATCCTGAGTGCAAGTCACTGGGCTTGGAGTTACTGCAGAAGTAAAGCATTGCTATGGGTCTCAAGCACAATACAAGGAATCACTGAATATTGCAATATATCTCACTTCAGAAAACAGGGCTATTTTCAAATACATATAGCTATCACTAATAACAAAAAACTGACAAATTATTACTTAATTTATAAAACTTCAATGTTATGTATTTTAAGGTATATTAAAAGATCAACCGTAATCACACAAGGGTTATGAACAGTTTCTAAAAATAGAGAAGTACACATTCAAAATATTTGGAATGACTTATGAAAATTACAGTTAGTTCCAAAGTGAGCTCTTTACCATTTCTGCATTACAATTCCTAAATTAATAACAATCCAAAAGTTTAGCAACTGTGGAATGAATAAATAAACTGTGTTATGCTTATATAATTGAATACTACTCAGCAATGAAAATGAACTCCATGCACAACATAGGTGGATATCACAAATATAATACTGAGCAACGGATGTAGACACAGAGTAATTTTGCAAGATTCCAACTCTCTGGAGGTTTGTATAGTGGTCACCTTGATAGAAAACGGGACTAGGAGAAAGCAAAAAGAGAGCTTCTGGAGTGCTGATAATGTTTTAACCCTTGCTATTGGCAAGAGTTAGCCAGGTGAGTCCACCTCCACAAGTTGTATTCTTATCTGTGTAAACCTAGGTGGTTTAAGATTCAATTAAAAAGATTACTAACAAAAGTTACTGACACTCCTAAACTTAAAGTACCTCTCGATTCAGGTTATTTAATTAATATAAAATGACTAATTAATGAATCTTCCAAATCAAGACAAGTTTGAGAGTAAATAAGCATGTCATTAATGGTTTTGCCAGTACCATCCCATCCAAACAACATCAGGACGAGTGGTTACCCTATTCAATTTCTTGAATGCTTCTTTCTTTTCTTTAGTTCTGCCATAACTATTTATGAACACAATTTATCAACCTTTTTTCACCCATTTTAAGCTTTTTGATGTCTGAGGTGATGTCATAGCTTCTCTAAATGCCCCAGAATAGCGAGAAGAGTAAAATTGATAGCATGAAATTTAGAAATTTAAAACAGCAGGCTTTGCTCCATTCACATCAAAGCAGCCTTTGACATTTAAGAATGTTCAAAACTGATTGGAAAGTACTGATTGGAATTATTAAGAATATTGATCATAATTCAAAGAGTAGGGTAAGACAGAAAGCATAAGGACATGATGAAACCCACAGAGTAAGGGAGACCCATAGCAGAAAGAAAAGGATGGTCCCATTGTAAGATGAAACTGCTTCCAAAGGAAACACAAAGCTATCTTTTTGCATACAATTTTCAAATAATAAATGAGACTGTGAAAAATTAAAATTCTCATAGCAGACCGTTAATTCTTAGGGGTATGTAAGTATTTTGCTCAAGCATTACAGTTTACCTACTATCAACCTAAAGACAGTAGGATATGCAATGTCACTGGAAAGAATAACTTTTCTACCAATTTTTCGGTTATTAATTTTTCAGGCATTTTTAAACAAGGTGACAAGTGATGGTAAAATGAAAAATAAATTACTTTTTTGGTAGTCTAATAGGATCATTCTAAAATCCCTCTCCAAATCCTCTCCTTCTGCCTCAACAATCTCGGCTGTCTCACCCTCAGCAATGAGACTGCTCAAGTACAATTTTTAAAAAAAATAATGGTTCAATTGATCTCTTCATAGTTGATGAGTTGTCTTCTGAAGTTACTTTAAATTATTATTACACTGGACCCTTTTTCACCCCTGACCTTCAGCAGGGATCACTCTTAACATTGATTTTCATCATTTCTGATATAATTGGAACTAGAATGAGTCCAGCAGGAGCAAAAGTCCATCCACAAGAGCAGCTTTTCAAATATCTATTTACTGCTCACCTGTGAAAAGGGGAGATATGACTCTGATTATGAAGAATCCAAAAATCTCTTCATTTTTCTCCACTTACACAAAGTAATACAAAAACCCCTCAGGGAGAGCCTCCAACAGGCCTTATCTGTTTCCACAAACTTTTATCTCTGTTGATCCCAGGCTCAGTTACATCAGGATATTTTACTTTTTGGAGACATCGCTTATCAATTCTTTCCAGCATGAAAAGTATGTATTAAAGTGATCACCTGAGTTATCCCCCACGGCAATATTAAACATTGCCTTTTCTACCAAGTGATTTTCTGTCACCTAGTGTGTTTGATACTCTTGGGAAAGTCAGAGATTCATTTATAAAGAATTACACTACACAGTCACAAATTTAATCCCTCAAATCAATAGCATTTAGATTTTTTAAGACGATAACCAAGGTGCCATCAACAATAAAAAAGTCTCTGTTCTTTATAGTCAGATTACTTTCGCAAAGGTAAGTATTTGGCCATTGGAAAACCACAGTGTTATAATGCCTATTTAGTGGGAGACTTCCCCACTGGATATGTTACAGCAGGAGAATGTAAAGCTTCAGAAAGTGTCAACAGAAAACTTTCAAGAGCAATTCATCACCACTCTCATGATGTGACATTAAAGATGGTTTATCTCTACACACCAGACAGGTAGAAAGCAGATAAGTGGCCCTAAACTGGTTGAAGCAATGATCAGATAATATGGTATATTCACTCCTCTTGGTCATGAATCACAGAGTTTTATACTAGCCACTTAACATCCTCCTGCGTTTTACAGCCTAATGTAGGAATGTCAAACATTTTAATTCACCAAAGGACAAATGAATCATAAATGTTACAACCCAGACACAGGTTTCACTGTTTATAGACATACAGAGGTGGCAGAGACATGACACTTTCATTTAAAACTAGGATTGGATTTCTGACTGATATAATTTTTGACAGAGAACTCATGCTTTCAGGTACTAGAAAAGAAACATTTTCTCTGTCACAGGTGGTTGAGAATGGCCAGTTGCAGAAGCTGGTCTGAAAGATGTTTCTTCATCCCCAAATATTTCTTGGCCAGTTGGATTCTCAATCTTGGGACCACTGTTTTAGATATATTATGGTACATTTGGGGACACTGACAAGGAGTTTAAAAAATTGTTTTTTAGCTGTCAGTAAACAATTCTTTGTTCAGGGTCTCTGGTCCATAACTCTACACTGAGATTTGCAGTATCTACAGCTACATGTGGAGTATGGGTGAGGAAGATGAATTGTGCCATTAGAAGAGTTAGGCAGGAGTACACATTACAAATTAAGCTAAGGGAATTTCTGTGCAACCATGTCTAGGTGAAGAGTGATAGTAGCTGCTAGGTTCATAATTTACATTCCTTATTTAGAGTCAGAGAGCTGCAGGTTTTCTCCTCAGTAAACTGGGGATAATACTAGCATCCATTTCAAAATATCAGTATGAGAATTAAATGAGAAAATGTTTGAGTGTTTATTTAAAAGAAAATCTTACATACTTTTTCATACAAGAAATGTAAGTTTCTACTATTGCTATCAATAAAGACATTAACCAGCTCAGCTCTCAAGTAGCCAATTTCTTA